TTCCCTTCTTGAAAATGGGGGTTACATTTCCCTTTTTCCAGTCATCGGGAACTTCACCTGACTGCCATGATTTCTCAAATATGATGGCCAGTGGCTTCCCAACTTCATTTCCCAGCTCCTTCAGGACTCGCGGATGGATCTCATCAGGACCCATGGACTTGTGCACGTTCAGGTTTTTAAGATGGTCTCGAACCAGTTCCTCTCCTACAGTGGGCACAAGGTCTTCATTCTCACAGTCCCTGCATCTGCCTTCCAAGACTTGGGTGGTGAGGTCAGAGCCTTTGCCAGTGAAGACCGAGGCAAAGAAGTCATTCAGAACCTCAGCCTTCTCCAAATCCTGTGTAGCCAGTTCTCCTGAGAGCTTCCTGAGGGGGCCTACATTCTCCCTAGTCTGTTTTTTATTTGCTATGTACTTGTAGAATCCCTTCCTGTTACCTTTAATACCTCTAGCTAAGTTTAATTCTGAGCCTTAGCTTTCCTAACCTGGTCCCTAGCTTCCCAGACAACATCCCTGTACTCTTCCCATGCCGCCTGTCCTTGCTTCCACTTATTATAAGCCTCTTTTTTCATTTGAATTTTCCTCAGGAGCTCCTTATCCGTCCAAGGAGTTCTCCTGGCCCTCCTGCTGCACTTCTTTCTGGTTGGGATGCAACACTCCTGAGCTTGATCTTGATTAGTCAAGAATCTCAGTCAGGTTCTGAACTTAGGGGACATCTTTTATAGTGTAAGAGGAAGTTGGTATCCTGATCTGAATATTGCTGTTTGAGACCCCAACTAAACAAAGCTTGTCACCCACACCAGGGCCATAGCACAGAGAAGGGTATCATCTGGAATAGGACTATGGAAAGCCTTTTACGTTTTTGTATCACGGTTGTTGACTGAGCCTACTCTCTGCTTAAATCAGGTCTCACTGAAATTAAGATGAGTCCCACTGCAGTCAATAGTATCTTCTTCTGAGTTTGGAGAGAATTCTTGTGGCTCTATTTCAGTGCGTAATATCCAGGCACTTGCAGCAAAGCACTTAAATACAACGGGGTGAAATATGGAGAAAGCAGAAGTCTTAATTTCCAGTTTCTTGGGTTCGTCAGATTGTTATATAGTATCAGATTGTTCTGTGAAAGCTGAGGCCACAGGAGTCCCATTACACTTTCTGAGCTGGATCCTTGGGTGGTGTAAATTGGTGTAGTGCTACTAGGGTAACGAACTGTGTTGGTTTCAGTAGCTTGGGATTTAGCCCACTAGGGCTGAGATAGCTATAAAACCTCACTGTACACTTTGAAAGTTGGACCCCATTAATGCTTCTGGAGTGCAGGATTTTATAGTGCCTATAGGAAACCCACTTTGTCTCTGGGCTTTAAAACCACCAACTAACCAAGGTCACCTTTCTGTCATTCTCAAACCGTAACTGTTAATACTAATAAGTGAGGGTGTAAGTTTACTGTCTCTTAGTGTGTTTGATCTCTGGTTTCACTTTTATTTTGTCTCTCCAAACTGTTTGTATCTTGGACCATTTTTACAAGTACACAAACATAAAGAGAATATCACTAGCAGGGACTCAGTGCCATGTAGAGTATTCTTCTCTGGCAATGCCTGTGTGTACTTGCACTTAAGTGCTAGATATGTATACGTGTACACACAAAATTACTATACAGTAAGCATCCTCAAGCACCCACATTCCTTTTTCACTTGGTAACTAATGAAATGACAGTTTTGCAAGGCAGTGTTGTGTCTTGTAGTGTTAGTGCCTAGGCTGAACTCCATTGCACTCATTGACTGTGCCAGTGATTCAGCATTAGAAGTTGAGGTTGTTTTCCTAGCAGTCATTTGGAAGTGTTTTGCAACAATTACCTTATAAGTACATTTATTTCTGCAAGGGGAAGAAAATCATACTAAGTGAGGTATAGAAGTAGGCATCCATGTGCTTTTCCATTAGTATAGGGCAGCTTGTAGTTTGGTAAATACAAGGATACTATAGGAGAATCCATTCTTTCAGTTGCATAAACAGCTCAAAAGCGATTTGTAATCAAGTAGCTTCTAGCAGACTTCATTTAAATATTTCATCATCATCTTTCGGGCAAAAAAAAAAACCCAACTTCTTTTCCCCATTAATCTTTTACTTGACATCTGTCAAATAAAATACACTAATGGCTATGGATATGAGACAACATGTCTCTAAAAATATTACGTAAGTTTCAATACCTTCAAAACACCTAATGGCTTTCTGGATAGGGAACAAAACACCAAATCTATATATGTTTGCTTACTGAGTATGGCTGGTGCAGTGTATTTTTTTTTCATTAAGTGTCAACTGTTTGACCTTGTCCTTAGTAAGAATTAGGGGAAAGAAGAGAAATCATTAAAAGATCAAAAGAACTTCTTATTAAGGTGTGGACTGTATAGCAAGAGTGACCACACTTGTTACCCCCACTAACTCTTAATGTAAACAGGATTCTGTAGGTAATTGATTTTGCAGTATGGCGGCCAAACTGGGGGGGGGGGGAATCTGAATTAGATTGGATTCACTTAAAAAAATACCTTATTTAAATAAAAGTACTGGAACCATTTATTGTGCTCATTGCAGAATTAACTATGTGATGTCAAGTGTTGGTAAAGGAAAGAAATGGAGTTGTTACGAAGATGAACAAATTAATGGTCCTGAGTTCAGGACCATTCAGAACTCCAGCTGAGTTCAGATCACTGGTCTGTGTGTGTCCTGCTGCACAAGCCCTGTGTCTCTGAGGCCATGTGTCCTGCAGAGGTGAAACACTGGCAGCAGTCTGTGTGTGTACCCCTGCCACTTCTGCTTGCTGGGAGATGCCATTGCCATGAACCTCCAGGCACTGAAATTATCTGAATTAAAGGACACTGCTTTTACTGGGGCTGGAGTGAGGTGGCTTCTCTTTTTAATCCAAATAATGCCTGTGACCTGGTCGATGCTACAGACCTGCAAAATGGAGAACAGGTACATGGGACTGTATCATTAATTAGTCCTCTTTTCATAGAAAATCTGCAAGAACAGGGATTCAAAGCACCTTCCTTCTCCTGGGAGCAGGTTATCAGGCACTTGGGACATTCCCTTGGGAGGCTGCAGGCTGTGGTTCAGCTGCGAATTAGGCTGCGAGTAGATTTGAACTTTAGTGTCTTGAGAGAAACCAAAGAGAACAATAGCAGCTTCTCACTGTGTCATACCTCAGCTCCAGTGAGTAATGCTGCATTGCTTGCCTTGTCACAACTATGTGCTTCCCCTGGTGATCCTAATGGAGCCCTGCAGATCCACTGGGGATCGTAACACTGGCTGCATCTGATTTTTAAGATGGTTTCAAAATATCATGGAACACATCCAGAACACAGAGTGGTGTTTTCTTTGGGGCCCAGACCATAGAATGTTTAATTTCTGATACCATTACTAAAAATAGCCATAGGAAAAGACACAGCTTAATATTTTAGATAAACGTTTGGGGAATGGGGGTTAGGGCAACTTGTTTTAGAGCATAATTTCCCTATAGGTTACAATCTATATGATTATAGTAAAATGGTAAAAAAGAATTGTCTGCCCTTGTATTCAGATGGTGGGCACATTGTACCCTTATTAAATACCCATTGCTGTTCCTAACTTCTTGATATTTTTCTTAGTCCTTTCATTTCATATGCTAATCTTCACCTAACTTGTAAAGTTTTGATTGGGTGTTTGATGCTAGTTTCAGAGGTGATGTGTAGTTTGGATTTCCTTGCATTTCCTCAGACATAATTACCCAAAAATATAGCTAGGGAGATTTGTAAGCATATTGCAAACTGGCTAAGAATCTAAGCCAGCAAATATAAGGAAGTCCAGAAGGTCTCAGATCTTGAACACTGTGTATACTGAGGGCATACTCTGCATTACCTTTGATGACTTCTAGCCTCTGCTGAACTTTAGAGCTTACTAGCATTACAATGACCGCTAGATTTTTATTCCTCTTTTCTATTGAAGCTGAAATATTAGTCTTGGGACCCCTTTTCAAATTGACTTGCCCATCTGTACTTTAAATTACACAGCTAGTAGCAGTAATTAGGCTCTTACATTCCTGAATATGGACATGTATGTCAGAAGACTCAAGAAAGTCAGACAGATGAATCTTCCAAATGAGGCAGCAACTGCAGGACTGGAAGGAGCCCTGGCGACCCTGTAACGTGCAGCCACAGCTCTGACAGTTTTTAGAGAACTTGGAAAATCCAAACTGCAACTGGAAAGCACTGTGTATCCCCAGGCAGCCTTAATTTGCATGATCAGCACTTACTCAGCAGAGTACCATAGGTACTGGAAACCTTGGTATATCAAATGGGTCACATTTAACTGTCCTTGAACAATTTCTCCTATGTATTAAACGTAAACAAGCTTTTTGTCATATTCGGCATCACTGTTTCTCTTTTCTTCACACTTTCTTTGATGCAGGGTAATTTTTCTCTAGGAAATTTTAGAGGGCCACAGTGAATATGTTGTGTTGTGCCACTTTATTCCCATAGTCTTGTTTCAGAATTCTGTACTTCTCTCATTTCATTTTATTTACTCCCCCCCCCCCCCCCCGGAGTTGGATAAGTACAACAAATTCCAGCAAAAATTAAGATTTTTTTTTTTTTTAAGAGTCACATTTATAGCTGAGGATTGGAAGACAAATTACACAGTCTCTTTTAGTTTTCTAAACAGTCTCTAGACACTGACTCTTCATCTCTTGTGATGTCAATGCACTGCCCACTGATGGAGCTGCCTGTTGATAATGCAAGAGAACACAGGTTTTCAGAAGCTATAGAAGGAAACTGGTAGTAGATTTCAAATGTAAATAAAGATCATAGGAAAAAGTTCTTTTCTCTTTGACAATAAAATCCAAACAAGCCCTTATCTAACACCCTTTGGGGGTTTCCTGAGATGTGTGAAGTAAAAGGTTTTTCCTTTGTGTTACAGGAGATACCTTTCTGCCCATTAAAATCCTCTCCTTTTTTTTTTTTTTTTTTTTTTTTAATAGCATCCAGGACACCTTTCTCAGAAGCCAGTGAGTGGTTTTACACCCTGAATAGTTTTGAACAGAACTCCATGAAGTCTCTGTATCCTATGCCAAAATGTATGACATGCATTCAGTGTGGAGAAAGAAGACAAAGAAAGTAGGAAAAAAACATCTCTTAAGTTACTTATAGAAAATTACTTACTAAAGAAAGCTTTAAAAAGTGTTGGGTTTAAGCATGCTACTAGCTTTGAAGTAATTAGCTTGCTGTTAAACCTACTGTACACTAATGTCTGAAAGAAAGGGACTATAATTAAATGATAAGTTCTATTTGCTATGCATCTCTGTTGTACAGATTTCTAAGTCTGCAGTCCTGTATATGCAAAAATTCTGTATTTAGAACACCCATTTCCAATTCCCCATATATTGTGAAAGCTTGGATGTCAAACCTGACTGTTACTTTCTGTGAAATACAGGGTGATATGTTAGCAAAAGAACCAGGTTTGTTCAGGATTATTTGGCTCATTCAGTGTGAATATCTAAACACATTAAAAGATTCAGTCCTCAGAGAATTGAACATTCTTTACATACATAGGGCCAAAAGAACTCTCAAGATTAAGCCTTGAATTTTGGTGGCTCAGTTTGAAATAGCTTCGCTTTATTAAACTGTTCATTCTGACTATTAACATCCTTTTATTTTTGCTCTTTTTCTGTTGTTTTTTTTTTAAAGAAAAGCCTTAGGAACATTCACATTCTTGAATAGAAGATTAACAGGACACTTGTACAGACAGATTGCCTTTAAGGACTTTTTTGAATATGTTACCTCCACAGTGTTAAATGTGACTGTCTTAAAACAGTCAAATAAGTGGGATAACTCCCCTCAATGTGTTTTCAATTGCAGATCGTGGCACTTTCGTCCAACAATTTTGAGGAGATAACTTTTAATTACAGTAATAAGAACCACATGGGCAGTGATTGATGCAAACCTGATGTGCTCCATTACTTTATTAATCTTTCTAATTAGAGGCAAAAGAATGCTTTATCTGTTGACGAGAAGAGTTGTGATGTTCTGCTGCACTTTTGTGATTTTAAAGAATTTGACTGCTGACCAGAAATGTGTATATACCTGAGTACAAGAGGTGAGAGGAAGTTGCACAGAGTTTTCTCCTCCAGATTTGTTTACCTTCAGCTCTGTGTGGTGCCATATATGTTGAGGTTATAATATTCTTCTATTAGTTTTACTCTAGTTCTACAAGCTTCTTGTAAGTATAGTTTAGAAACTTAATTAGAGGGCAAGGAAAGAAGAGACAGTTTAACACCACCAGATGTCACAGCCATTGCTTGCCAAAGGGTAGGTTGTATGGGATGTTCAGGAAAGCTTATGAGATACCTTGTTCTTTAACTCAGCTTTAGGAGCTGAGAGAGCTTAGCATGTCCTCGGTCCACTGTGGCTGTTTGAGGCACTTGTAGGATGGTGTGAAAGGCATGTAAACAGGATTATGTTGATTCAAATGCTAATGCTGGTCTTTGAAACAAATCCTGTGAATATTTTATCTGAACTGGTTTAATAGATTCACTTGCCTTGCACATGCAGAAGGTTAGATTCAGTTCCGTATGTTCCTTACCTAACAGGTAAGGCTTAGGCTTCACACATTTGCCTGGAGTTCTTTGTCCTGCAAGCACTCTAAATAGGATTAATGGCCGTGGTGGAGAAACAGCACAGAGGCTTTTCCCACTTACACTATTTGTGATCCAGTCTTTCATATTATATAGTGCCAATAGTGTACCAAGTGAGTTACTAAGAAAGGCAAGGTCCCTGCTCCAGAAGGTTCACATTCTAACTAAAAATATGACATCTCAGGGCTTTATAGAGAAGCATGAAGGCAGTAATATTTCTGGATAGGAAAGGAACAGAAAACTTATGCACATAAGATGTCAAAGGCAAAGTCACTTGTGATACCCAGATTTTGTGGTTCAGATAAGAAACCTGTAAATTAACCTGTATCAGCAGGAGAATTAGTTGAACATCACAAAATGTTCTGCAAACAAGGGAAGAGCAGCACCTGCTTTGAGAGAGCTGAAGTTGTGTAAGCTTCCTGCACTGCTTTAGCAATAGCTTAGAAATGACATGGATTCCAGCCAGTGTCGTGGCTTGGTAGTCTGTGCTACCATGTGAGGATGCTGCCTTTGGGCCTGATCCAAATGTGTTTGAAGTCAGTGGAAGTCTTTCAACTTCAGTGAGTGAGCTGGGGAGGTGTTTTGAGGTGCTTTTTTTGTGCCAGCCAGTTTGGAAGTATCAGTGGGAACAGAGGAGGGGAGAAGTTCAGTTTCTTGTATCAACTGAAAGAAAGGAAAGGGATTTTTTTTTTTTTTTTTAATTAGTGTTATTTCTTAAGAAACATTTGCCAAAAGATCTTTATGCCTGTCACCACAGAAGAAAATGGGACTGGCTTTGGGATAAGGGATAGTAATGGAGAAAGAGGGCATTTCCTTGAGTGGTCTCACTGTGACTCTTTATTTGTGTAATAGAAGTGGGTGTGCAGCTCATCATTGATATAAACGTTTAGTCAGACACAGTCTGCTTTAAAGCCATTCCAGACAACCTTAAATAGACCCACTGGCACTCAGTGCTGTTCAGAGTGTGACCTTGTCTGCAAATGAGTTCCCGATGATTGCCTAAGTGGTGATACTCATAGCAACAGAACTGGAGAAGTTAGGCCCACAAAAAAAAAAAAAAATTGGGCTTGAATTACATTTATTGACAAAATGGTTGTTTCAGCCAAGGCTGTTCATCCATCCCTAGGTCTGGGCACAGTAACTCTCTAGAACCACTCTCTAATGTAACAAGAGTGGCACGAGGGAGTTGAAGTGCTCAGAAAGCCTACATTTGTTTCAATCTGTCACACTCAGTATGAGGATGTATGGTGAAAGCATGGAGGAGATACTGCATTTTGGGATTCCTAGAAGGGTGCCCTGGCATATATTCCTACACACATGTTTGTCATATCTAAATTATTGAGCAATTGAATTTAGTAATAATGACCATGAATTAACCATCTGTCAAAGATAAGGAATGTCTGCTTTAATCCTCAGGCTGCCATGCATGCCTTTATATGGTGCCCACAGCATTCCTTTGGTTGCCAAAGTGGAAGCATGGCAGCAGACCAGAAGTTAACATGGGGAGGGAGGGGGATGCATTCCCTTCCACTCTCTGAGAAATGATTATTCTTTTGCTCATTTGTTTCAGCCAGACTCTAGCAATATCAGAGTTGTTTCTCCAGATTGTTTTGATTTTGCGAAAAAATAACTGCTTTGTGCTGCACATACAGCTCAGCTTTAAAAAATCAGGATCTTTTTCAATTATCGTTAATGTTACCTGAGATATACATTGCATTGAAGGCTTGGAACTGAGAACTATTGGATTTTCTACTTAAATTGTCCCCCATCTTCCAGTTCAATCCATCATCTAAATGAGGCAGTGTATATCTTTTTAAATGTAGTACAAGTGTATCTTCAAAGACTCCAGAGTAGTTCGGAGATCATTTACTAAACTTACTTCCTTGCTGTGTACTTCACCCATGAAAATGAGATTGAATCCTCAACATGCAGAGCAAAGCTTCTAAAGGAAAAGATGTTACAGCTCACTTAGAAGCTAGCAGGCTAACTGGTGGGTACATGTAGGGGGGGGTTGGTTTGTTTTTTTTTCCTGCTTGGACTGAACTTGCCTCCTTACAGCTATTTTCCAAGATCTGTTCTTCCACAGATTACTAACCTCTATTACATTTTTCTATAAAAACTAGCTAAAAATTGTAATGATACTCCTTTCATTTCAGCTGCTTTCCCTGCCCCCACTTCTCCTTTTTAGTCCTTTCTGATGGTCTTAAGTTCTCCTAACTGGTCCACTTTGACCTTGTAAGTTATAGAAACATCCATATGGAAAGCATCAAGATGCTTAATGACTTTCATGATTTCTTAGGGAGGGAAACAGGGAGCAGGGGAAGCAAAGTTCATTCATCGTACAGTAAGCTCACTGATCTACATGAAGTGATCAGTCTTCTCACCTGTCTCACAGTAGCTGAATGTGGTCACCAGGGCTGCCTCCTTGCTGCCTGGGACTTAAGAGATGATGGTATTGAGGAGAAAGGTTCTTCATCCTTCACCATGGGTTGTCAAAAGCTGAGCAGCTAAATGGCTGCTAGTAATTTTATCAGCTTGAGGAGTTCCTGTATGTCTCCTGCTCCATACATCATCTTTGGAAGAATCATCCACTCTCTGTTTGGAACAGTTTCAGGTCCCTTTTGCACAACCTGGACTATAGGGCCGAGCATCTAGTCCAAGCAGCAGGAGGTGACTCTCAGTGCTTTCTTGTCCCATAGTGAGAGATTATAAATGTGCTGTCATGTGCTTCTTGCAGAGGCTTCTCAGTGGCTATCTAGAACTTCCCTCAGGTTCTGATCAGACTTTCTCCATTTCCATTTGCTAAGGCTGCTTTGCTGCTAATGCGTGAGGAAAAGGAAAACAACCCTGAAATGGAAAGAAATACAGGCAACTCCAAAAGCAATACAGCTTTTCAGTGCCGGCTGAACTGATCACAGGGCATGGGGCATGTTTTTAAAAGACTTCTCATTTGTTTCCTGAAGAGTCACATACCATGAGTGGTTAATTTGGGCTGGACTGGTTCTTACATTTCAACAATAGTTCATGCTAACATACAAGTATGTAGCTTTGTCCTGCAAAATATTGTTCAATGCAATCACTTAAACAATCTTTAGCTTGCACTTTTTGCTTCCCCCCCCCCCCCCCCCCCCCCCGCATAGCCCCCCTTGAAATGTAGGTGGTCACCCAAAGTAAACAGAATTCCTTCTACTCCTTCCACATCTGCTATGTGTTATCTGGCACTCACCTCTGACCCTGATATTCATCATAAGAATAAGAATTGCATCCTATTCAGCTGGTTGCATGCACTTTAACTCCAGTGATCACTGGCTGTTGAAATAGCATGTGCTGGGAGCAGAAATTGCTGAGGCAGCATCAGGGTGTTCAAACTGGACTGTTCCACTTTCTTGTACACTTTGGGATAGTTAAACAGAGTTCTGGAGACAAGCAGCTCAGCACAGTGTACTGGGGGAAAGACTTTGGTATCATTTAGGATTATACTTCATAGTGAATGCAATGCAACGAGTTCAATACTGACTCTTAAGGGGGTTTGAAAACAGACTAGTTCTCTTCCCTAGCTGCTGTATCAAATGATGTGATTCATCCGTATAGAGAAACTGTATCTTTCTGTGTGGAAGCAGTGAGTTTGAAAGTACGTTTGTGTTGCAAACAGCAGTTAGTGATCCTCTTTCTTTGGTTTAATAACACCATTCCACGTGACCTACTGGTATTATTCACGGAACTAGGTAATTTTCGTTGTGAGCAGGAATTTAAAATCTGACCTTAAATGTGAGGATCCATGTGTTGAGATGGATGAGTACTGAACTGGTCTCTGTGACCCCGCTAAATGGAACCCATCTGAAATATTATTTATTCACAATGATGAACAGAATTACTTTTTGGACACTCTGGAGGAAGAAATAAAACTGCCAATTCGCTTGCCAAGGGGGGATTGATTAAAGATTGGGGAACTTCCCAGCTGGAACTAGAATCTTCTTTGTTTGCTGTGTGCATTCTGCTGCTTACCTCTCTTCTGTGGCAGGAGTGTGAGCAAGGAGCCCTCTGCTAGTTCCCTAATCTTCAAACAAAGATGTCCTTATACCAGCACCAGGTGATCTCTGCCATACCAGCAAAAACTGTTCTTGCACAGGCACTTGTATTCAGAGGGCTATCATGTGGATTACAAGCATCTGGTAATGCTCAGTGATACATACTGATTATCAGTATGTGAATAGATTTATTTTTTTTTCCCTTTAAATTGGATGTGCTTCTTCACTTTCCAAGTTGGTTTCCTTGAACATGTCTGTATTTATATTTTGCAAAATTAACAAGGGATAAAACAGGTGCTGAGGATATAAATTATGTCATTATATAAGCAGAGATGTACTATGTAATGGGCAGAGAAGAAAAGCAGATTAAAATATGGGAGGCAGGATTCTCAGCCAGGAAATATGTTTGAAATAGACTGTAAAGTGAAATGAAAAGAATCAAATGAAAATGAACTTCAGTGGTATCTAAGTGGTTTCAGTTTGTGCATTGTACAAAATCATGCATTGTCCTTTGGTGCCCTTTTCATCTTGTTTATTTGAATAAAGAAGACCAGTTAGTTTGAAAGGTAGTTCTTGGTATCAGAATTGACTTCTGATCACACTATCATTTCACAATTCTTTAGACATCAGGAACACTTGAAAGTAGATGCACATGTTTGCGGGGATTTTTCTTTTCCTCCAGAGAGATTCAATTATTTATGCTAGAATTCTTCTTATTTTGAGTTATTTTTATAATTGACTCAAAGCTGTGTAGGCTGATACAGCCCCAAGTTACCTTTGTGATCTGAAAGATCCTCAAAATGGCCAAATAGAATAACTTTGTCACTTGTTTCTCATACCAGTTTTGACAATGGGTCATTTCATAGATGTCTAAAATGATCTTTAGTCACGTTTTATGAAGCCAGAACTGTAATCCAATAACAATTTTCTGGCTAAGTGCTTCTCGCTTGCCACTGGGGACTAACTGCATCACTGTTGCTGCTCTTAAAATGAGCTTAAGCTAAAAGGACACAAATTTCATATTTCTTTCCCTATTTTCTTGAGAGTAATCTAAGAAAATAATATTTTAAATAATTGCATTCTGGTTCCTGAGGGACATCAGCATAATTGCATTGAAGATACCTTTATGTTTTTTATGTATTTATTTATTAACAAAGAAGTGCATTCCATCTGTAAATCAAACGATTGGTCCAGTGGCACAAAACAATAAAGCAGTGAAGCCTCTAGTTCATTAAATTGGAATAGAGGGATTGAATTACAAATTTATGTTGGTTTAAATTTCATATTATAAATTCTGGGATTCTAAGATGTAAGGGGAAAAATGTTCCCCAGGATGCAGACCTACACTTTCAGCCAGGAAGATTTATATAAGACTCACTGGAGACGAAGGAAGGCTGAGACTGCCATGGTTCATCTGGTACGTGGTGGGCATGTCACAGAAGACACAACAACAAAACCCCAAATCCATATTTAAACTGAGGATACTCTGGAGAGGTTACTTTTAAATATGCATAGTTTGACATGCTGGATTCTGAAACTCCACAATATGAAGGTCAAGTAACAGAAGAAATGAACAGTGAGAGAGATGCTTCATAAACCTTAAGTGATTTCATTTCATTCCTGTGTTCTCTCTCCTGTCACCTACCCTAGTGTTTTTTTCAGTGTATTCTTGTATTCAAAACATTCAATTCGCTATTAGGCTTACTTTATTCTGATCATTTCAGTTTGATTTCTGTCTTTAACAGTCTCTGGAGTTGCCTGTAGAAGCAAATGTAAAACCCATGAGACAGTATGTTCTCTTCAGAGTTGTTCTATTGACTGAATTCCTGCTGTTGGGACCTAGTCCTCTGATATGAAATCTTAACTGGCTCTTATTTCAGCTTCAACACCACAGGCAAATCACCTTCTGAGAACTGCATGTGCCTCAGTGTTACACTCTTGAAAAGCTGAATTTGTTTCCTCCTTGAGTAACACCACATGGTTTACAAAGGCTGCCCTCAGATTTTCTGAGGAAATCTTAGCTAATCTTTCCCTTTCTAACGTAAAATTGATCATTAATCTCTGCCACCTCTATGGCAATCTGTCAGGAATGTTTAGGAATTGACAACTGATTCAGTGAATCTGAGATGATGTGATGTTTCCAGCATTTCTGCAATGGAGCCACACTTTCTGTGAATATAAACCACATCCCCCTTTCCTCTGAGCCTTCTCTTCATCTCTGTGGGCTGTTGTTTGGAAACCAGAGAAGCGCAGCAAAGTATTTTAGTTTTGTCTCTATTCAGTGCCACATCTCACCTTTTGCTGGGTTTTAAGGAAGCTACTACAGTTAGTTCAATACGTCTGTAAAATAGCATGTGACAGCCTTGTTTCACAGTCTTTCTCAGGTGGAAGATGCAGTTATGACTGGGGCATTTGCCTGCTAGAAGTGTAGTCTTTATTTGTAGAAAACTCAGTTATTTGATCTACTCATTGATGTACTTCACCATTAATTCTGATACACAAATGATAAAGGTTCTTCCAGGTTAAAATTTGCCCTGGTTTCATGGGAAGGGATTTTAGACTCTCCTGACCACTAGAAATGGCATTCTCCACCCCTCCTCAGCATAGGGTGAAGGCTATGAGCAAGAATTGAGGCACGTTCATGAGTACCAGCTCTCTGCTTAAACCAAGGTCAATGTGGATCAGGTTCCTCAGGGCTGGTCCTGTCAAGTTTTGCACATCTTCAGGAATAGGGATTGCACAATCTCTATGGTTTACCTGTTAGTATTTTGCTATCCTAATGGTGATTTATTCCTCCCTCTCTCTCCCTTAACAGTATTTAATTGCAGTATTCCTTGTTGCAGCTTGGTGTCCATTATGTCTCATCAGTCACTTGTGCACCACTCAGGAATCTGACACTCTATGTCTTAGTAGTTGAAGACTACTTCAGACTCTATTTGAGACTGACTGCACTTGCTCTTGTTTATATGAAACTTCTCTGTCTCGCAGAGCTCCAAAATGTCCAAGAAATAGTATTCTGCTTTTAGTAGCTCCTTAGACCTTATTTTTAGCATTGTGTTGAGCCTCATCTAAGGTTGATTGAAGGGGGCTAAACATACTTTTGTGTAAGAATCGGGTTTTCTACCTAAAGGTCTGTAATGTAGACACTTTTGGGATCTGTAAGGTGTATAATTTAGATTTGATAACCGTAATCTCAAAAGCTGGTTTATGAAGGACAGTTGTGCCTTTGCAGATCATACTTTTGCTACAAAACCTCATGACACTTTGAGTGCATTATCTCACTGAAGCTGCATGTATTTCCCTTGAGGTGATGACTGAACACCATAAACTTCAGTTGTTTCCAAAGGCTCAGAGAGGCCTAGGGGTCCTGAGCATTAGTTTATGCCCACTGTCCATAATGTTTTTGAAGCTTATCTTTCTATACCTCAGTGACTCAGAGTATATAAGTGTTTCCATAATATGAGAACTCTAAATGGAAGAAAGGTGCTGATAATCAAGTATGAACCAGATTTCAGGATGATAAGACATTCACCTTTCATTACAGATCTGGCCTTGCTATTCCTTAATCCTGCCAGGAGGATGATGCTAGGTGGCCGGACAAGATAATCCTAAAGTGAGTTCAGTTACTAACTGTTGTTTGTGTTTGTTTTTCTTTCTAGCATTCTCAAATGGGAGATCATCTGACAAGCAAAGTATTTACTGGTAAGTCACACAACTGATTTTATGCCAATTCTTTTGCAAAAGTATTGAATTTAGTGATGTGAAAGTGACAATCTGCAGATCAGAAAGGCAAAGTCTAGGGAATACTCGAGAAGTACTAGCAAAATGACATATTCAGAGTTGGAGAATGTAACACAGTTGTAAGTCATTCTAATCCTTACAGACCACTTCCAAGACATAAAACTGTATTAGAGAAATAAGTCATTTTTCTATATCAGCTCTATCTTGAATCTCTTTATTGAAACACAGGTTTCCAGGTCTGTGAGTCATCCTCGTGTGCCAGATAAGGTTTAACCTGTTGTTTCTTCAGCTACAGTTTTGTATGTGAATTCCCTTCTCTCTCTTATGGATACGTATACCCCTACCTTCTCCCGTTGCCTGTCTCACACCATAGAGAAGTGTAAAAGCTGTTCTCTTCCTCTGCCTTCAGAACAAATAAAGTGGTGATTTACTTTGTTATTTTAAAGGGGATGTTCCTCTAATCTGTGAGTCATGAGATTAATTGAAAAGTAAATGAAAGAACTTGCATTTATCTTTGTTGTGTAATAGGTGCTATTTTTCTGAGGGAAATTACTGAACTGTATACTTCATATATTAGAAATCTGAGTGTATATGAAACTAAGCAGGTGAGTTGATAGACAGATATGGTTTGAGATCTCTCTGCCTCTCACTAATTTTTGGCAGCAGTATATTGTCAGATTAGGAGTATTTTACCATCAGAATCAGCTACTGAAAAGTGGTGCTGGACCCTGTGCTCCAAGGAGCTGCATCTACCCAGATGCAGCCCACCTGGGAGGACACTGTTGCTTATAATCACGTATATTATAGAATCATAGAATAGTTAGGGTTGGAAAGGACTCAAGATCATAAAGTTCCAACCCCCCTGCCATGGGCAGGGGCGCCTCACACTAAACCATGGCATCCAAGGCTCTGTCCAACCTGGTCTTGAGCACTGCCAGGGATGGAGCATTCACAACTTCCCTGGGCAACCCATTCCAGTGCCTCACCACCCTAACAGGAAAGAACTTCTTCCATATATCCATTCTAAACTTCCCTGTTTAAGTTTTAACTTGTTACCCCTTGTCCTGTCACTAAAGTCCCTAATGAAGAGTCCCTCCCCAGCATCCCTATAGTCCCCCTTCAGATACTGGAAGGCTGCTATGAGGTCTCCACGCAGCCTTCTCTTCTCCAGGCTGAGCAGCTCCAACTTTCTCAGCCTGCCTTCATACGGGAGGTGCTCCAGTCCCCTGATCATACTCGTGGCTTCCTCTGGACTTGTTCCAACAGTTCCATGTCCTTTATATGTTGAGGACACCAGAACTGCACACAATACTCCTAAGTGAGGTCTCACGAGAGCAGAGGGGCAGGATCACCTCCTTTGACCTGCTGGTCATGCTCCTTTTGATGCAGCCCAGGATACAGTTGGCTGTCCTTTCATGAGTGTCACATGCAAACCACAGCTTCCATTATCTTTTTCCCTTTCTTAACATCATTCTTCTTGTCTGACCATTTTCTGATTCCCTCCATTGCTCCTTTGAAGTGAGTTTGCTCTTTTCAGCTCTGGCACAGGCATTTCTGCCTATATTCCAGATGTCTGTGAGGACCAAACAGGGCATTACTGTCTATAGGACAAACTATATGGGAATACATATGGCAGAGCAAAATATTGGCTACCTCAGGCCAATATTGGCTAACAATGAAGCCACAGTGGGTAAAGAAATAATGTAAGGAATTGTGGCAAGAAGAGAAGTAAACTGTCACATTTAAGGTTTTTTGTTGTTGGTTTGTGTTTTTACTTTGCTCTGACAATCTAGAAGTTTTAAGCCTACTGCTGGGACATTAGTTATTTCTTGTCTGAGGTACTGCATTTAGTATTGTACTACAGTATTGTGAACAGGTTGTGAACGGGCTAAACAATGTGGGTTCAGTTTTGTAACCATGAAAGTAGACTCCTGCTATCCCATGTATTTTGCTTAGGGATCATTTATTCTTCAACATTGATCTGCTGGTGACAGGGTAGAGTTTAGTTTTGGCAGATAAAGTTCAGGATAGCAGACTGTTTCTCCTGTAGATGGGATATGCATGGCTTTGCTGTCCCTCAGGCTGCCTGTGTACTCTGGGCTGCATACACAGTGAGAGCCCCCAAAATCTGTGCGGATTTTGGGGAAGATGGAGTGTTTGTCTCCAAAACACTGTCACAGAGTACATGCCAGTTATGCCTGACCTGTTAGGCTTCTGACTTCCATTAATCCGGATAGTGTCCTCTTTTGATTCTCACCTCACTTTGCGTGGCAGGTTTCAGAGCACCAGAATTGTTACACAAGTGACTGGACTTGGCATCAAAATACAGGGGAAGCACATAAAATAAGAATAGTGGCAGCTAAGAACAAAACATGAAAGTACAGAGAGGATATTGCAAGCATTGCTTTAGAATGAGAGTAAAATTATTTTCCAGACAGAGTGGCCATCATTTGTTAAGAAGGAGATTTTAAAAGTTTGACTGGATATACACACAAGAATAGTTCTTAAAAGAACAAAGTAATCTGTGCCATGGCACACCTGAAACAGACTGTCTCCTCGTTCACATTGAGAGGAATATCATATTCTGAATTTCTTTCTTTCCTGAGAAACATACAACACTGTTCTGCACACTTGATTTTTATAAAGTCTGGATTGAGAAGGGCTGTAGGACACTGGATGTCCGTTTTTCTGTGCTAGTATAGTAGGGCAGTTGCAGTTCCAGCTTTAGCTCCAGCCGCTTAAAAGCCATACCACTACAATGTTGTTCAGCCAAGCAGCCATTGCATTTGTACTGCTAAAGCCCATTGGACAAGTGGCAGTAAAACAGACAATCGCAGTTTTCTCTCATTCATGCTTTTTTAAGACCTATTTGATAGCCTCAATGTTACAGTCAGGAAAGGCAGCCCTCTGGTTCTATCATTTCTGTTAAATGCCACTGCTTTAAACTAACTGGCAGTAGGCTTTTTTCTACTCACCAAGCAGTTTACCAATCCACAAAACTCCTCAGTCATCAAAAGCCCCTTCTTTGGTCAAACCACAATCATTGTGACAGTTTGAGGTGAGAGTATTTGGCAGGGATCGCTCAAGGGTTCATTCTTTTCAGAATGTTTACTTCACCTGACCACTTTCCTGGGTGCCACAGTGATTAGTCAGCTGTATATTATTTAAGGGAAGCTAAGGAATCCTATTGTCTCCATGCAAGAAACAGCTGAAGGAGGGGGGGGATATAATAAAAACAAATAATAAAAGCCCCTCAGCACTGAAGAAGATGTGCTGGGAAAGGATTAAAATAAGTTGCACAGCAAGCAGAACGCCGTGTAGAACAGGGTGTGCAAGTGTATTCTAGGTAGGGCAGAGAATCAGGATTGCCTGAAAGGTCTCATTTATAAACTACAGTGAACAAGATTTTTTTTTACATTTGTTTTTAATCTTCACAGACTTTAACTGTTTGGGTTGATATTTTCCATGTTGGGCTTCCTCCTGGGGCAAAACATTTGGAATGACTATGATCAAAATGCATTGGCTGTTTCTGGAAAGAAAACGAATATGTATTGTTCTGTATAAAATTTTGAGCACTGTTTCTCCCCCCCAGTTGCATCTTTCTTTTGTTCTTTCAAAATATAATCAAAACCTACTGTCAAAGCATGATCTTCCTTCCTTGAAGTATGGGTTCCTGTGAAGAAAGATGCTATTGTTGCTTTATTCCATGGACTGAAATGATAGAGGTCTGTACAGTGACTCTAAATATTGCCAGTGACGCTACTGAGCCACAGGCTCTGCAGTAGGATTCCGTGCTGTGGCAGTTGTGGAGAGCTGGATAGCTCTGGATTTTAAAAACTGGTCATTTACAAATCAAACTTGAGAGCTGAGAGTCTAAGATCAGGGTGAAATCTGCTGGATAAAGCATGGACACATCTCACTAAATGAGCAGTTCAAAAATTTCAAATCCTGTCTTTCATTCTTGCCCTGTCTGTTAAGTGTGTGCCTTCAGACCCTTTTTATTGCATGCTTTTCAAACCTTGCTCCAGAGTCAAAATTCATTTCCTTCTAGGTATCTATACAGCACTCAACACTGCAGTGTTTCACTAACCATTAATGAAGTTATTTTCACAACATCCTAGTAAGATGAGGAGGAATTATTGTCCTCATTTGACAGATAGAGACCAGGACATGGTTGTTCAAGGCTGAAGATACTTGCTAAACTGGGGACCCAGTCTGAGACATCCTGCTCCAGATCTTTTTCAGGACATTTAATGTCGGGTAGGAGGCTCATAGCGCAGATCGCTTCAACTTCAGCTGCATTTGTGAGGGACTGGCACATTGAGTCCAGGTTTCAAGTCAGGCACAGAGCACATGCAGAACATACAGTTGATAAATGACCTTAAGTGGGAAGCCTGGTTTTAAGAAACTTGTCCTGTATCTCATAGACTGTCTTGTGACAGAAGCAGATGCAGATTCCAAACTCTTCAGGACAACTTTTAAACTGTCCTTTTTTTAATCTTTCTTTCTGCATTCCTTGCTCATTACTTAACAGGGAACCTCAGCAATGCACAGTGCACTGAGCAGCCCTACTCATTGTCAGGCAACTGCCTCCTGCTCTCCATTGATTCATCCTGCAGACAAGTCTGTGCCATGCAGTGCCTGAAACAGTGACCTGTGGAAAGCTCAGTTTGTGATTGCTTAACTAAGTTGTATGATGTGTTTACCATATACCAAACTCTTGTCTTTGGTCACAAACGACTGAAGTCTGGTGTCTATCAAGGGAGAGTACTATAGAGTACTAATGAGGTGGTGAGTATACTGGCATAAAATGGCTCTTCGTATGTTTGGGGGGGCAGATACAGCTTGAACAGTGAGGATTACTGCTTAAATGCGCAAACTTCCTCCCATTCGCCCCCTTTTGTACTTGTTTTATACCTAGATCCCAAATAGTGCAGGGTAGGGACTATGATGTTTGGCTTGTATGGAACTTAGTATAGTGTGGCCTTGAACAAGGGACCTCAGCTGCTCTGATAGAATCCCTTTTCATTCACATTATTCATGTTATCATCTGAAAAAAATGAGTCTCTCAACTACCTAATTGAAAAATTTGCCATGTAGACCATCCTCTGTGGACCTCAGAGGTGGTCACTGACAGTTTGCTACGTTATGTGAGCTACCCACCTAGAATGTTGTAGGGAGCATTGCAATTTGTTCGCTAACTTTTGTTTCTCTTAAGTGAATTTAATATGTTATATACTTTTCAATTTTCTAAAGTGCTAGTAGTTTATTAAAACAGAACATTAAATTGACCTGTATACCTGTAGCAGAGGACTGTTGTGAAGATTAATAATTAGATAATGTTTGTAAAGCACTTTTTATAAGTGAAAAGTGCTATAAAGTGCTAAGCATTATTATTGCAGCATGATAGAGATCACAAAACACAGAAGTGAATTAGCTCTGGGTTTAATCCTTATAAGGCAAAGCATACCAGGGGCAAAATAACATTACAGTTATTTTTCTTACATCCAGCACTTCATTAACCACCGCATCGGGTTATATAACTCTCTGAGAGTCTAACTTAGTGAAGTTTGTAATCATAGCAGGGAAAGTTCTCACGGTTTTTGCAGGCAGGACTTGTGTGCGCAGCCTTTAAGGTCACACAGAGTTCCTCCAGCTATGCAACGTTAGTGCCTCCAATTGCATGTAGGGACATCACTGCCTGCTTTGGCTCTCTCCAAGTTAACCCCTCTCATGAGAGTGCCTTTGTCTATGTTACCTGTCACTAAATAGAGGTTTTCATAAATGTAAAGTGGCATAATGCTACCGAATGCATACAGGCGTCTATATCGTATTAGGATTTTATTATGCTTCTCATGAACTCTTTTCCATAGGCTCAGTCGCTCCTTAAGTTTTGCTTTTCCTCTGAATTTTTACTGAAGCTGTGCAAAAGGCTCACCCCAGCAAATCCATCACTTGTTTTCTGGCACCAGTCAAGTCCTCAACATCTTTGAGAAAGTCAGTCAGCACTTTCTTTCCTTTTTAATTCTCACTTACTGCTTATCTTGCTGCAGGTGGCCTATTGCTACTGCTGCAATCATTGCTTTTCCTATGGATGGCACAAACACAGAATATTTTTTCAAGTTTGATTCGGGAGCTGCATGTTTTCTGCCCCATCCCCAGTAGGACAGTCTTGAGCCAAAACCTTGGGAAGTAGCATTTGTTACTTGGTTTAGCTACCTGCTGTTTTATGAAAAGAGGAATGTGAATTAGTCTTCTCAAAGAAGCGATGTGCCAAAACTTTGGAAGGTTGTCCATTTAGAAGTAGGATGTGCCTCTTTCAGTTGGGTTTAACTTCTCCTATAGGCTGCTTGATTTCTATTTGGTTTATTTTTGGTTGGAATGGGGTGTTTCTTGTTTGTTTTCCTCCCTTCCTTCTATAGGAACTGTCAGTAGACAGCCTCTGAAATTCTGGCTGCTGCTATGTGGACTGACTACAGTTCCCTGTTAACTTTACACTAGCCACTGAAGCATTCCTCTGTTTTATCTTGAAAAACAACACAACAAAAGTGCACCAAGGCACCATGTCCCCCATTACACTACTGTGGTGAGCTTAGTGCATTTGTTTGCTTCTGAAATGTGAAAAATGAGTGTTAAAATGTTAGGTCTTACCTGGTGAGTGCTGAGGAGAAACCAGGTGTGAGAGCTTCAGGGAAATGATTCCTGGACCCCGCAGATGTTTGTCAGCATCTGATTGCAGCTCATAGAGTAAATCTGCAAAGCACCTGTGCTGGGAGAGACCTGCAGTTTGCAGAGCTCAAGAGATCCTGGCTCCCATGGTCTTGAGACATCCTCAAATTACTTTGCTTCAGGCAGTCTCAGGAAGTGATGTTGAGGTTCTCTGTAAGGTCTCCATCTGCCTTCATGTCCATGTGCTGACTGTGGCACATACAGTTGTCATGTGGGCTGGAGAGAACCACAGCCTTACAACTGGCCTGTGGGACTTGCCCAAGAGGTAGCTGTGTTGGCCTTAACTTGGTTAAGCACAGGTGAACTTGATCATAAGCACAGCCCAGTGCCTCTTGTGCATCGTAGTACCAGTAACTTTGGGAGGTAGATATGAGAGATGCTAGAATGAAAATGTAGATGAACAGGCAAAAGGTTTGATTTAGGGGCCTACTGATATATTTCTGTTAGACTTGTGGTTTTTTGCAGTTGATTTCTGTATAACACAATGAGGAGAGGGAGCTGTAAAAGGAAAGGGAAGCTCCACCTTACCCAAATTGGAACCAGCTGACTACAAAAACCAAGAGGGTGGGGAGGGGATTATTTGTAGTCAGACCAGCAAGGGGAGCATTATTTATAGGCAGACCTGGAAGCAAGGTGGCAGGTGGTGAGGAGCACTTGGGTCAGACAAAGACATCTGCTAGGAATGTCAGCAATATAAAGGTAACCCTGTATCCAGTAGTAAATGATAGGACAGAAATTACAGCTAACCTGGAGGAAGAAAGGTTGCAGAGACATATTTGAGGGAAGTCACAATGTGTCAGACAGAGGAATTAACTGAAAGTAGGCATGCTGCCAAAAATAAAATCTGTATACCAGTGAGAGACTTCCAAGTCAAAAGTAGGTGAACTAGGTGCCTGCAGATGGAAGAGGACTGACCTTCACCAATTAAATGCAACTCAAATAGTTGATACTAATGTCATATTGTAGTCCATAATCATGAGCTGGACAGAATTGGTCATATGCTGGAGTACTTCAGTATATGGCTGTAGAAGACGTAGAACAGGCCAGTCATGAGGATGGGGTGTAGCTTTCTGTTGTCCAACCAGCTAATATATTGCAATGAAAAGGCATACAGTGACTTGATAGGGAATTGCTGGTTTTCTAGTTTAGTGTTTTTAAATGTCTTAAGAATATCCTAAGCTTTGTATAAGTTCTTTAGTTGGTCTAAATTGGAGAAAAGGCACAAAAAATAATGGTAGGTTTATACTACTTGTTACCTGCTCAGTTAAGTGATGTTTAAGACCTGATTCTTCTGATTGCTGTTCTTGCTAATGTTGCTTGTTGTTACTTTGGCATTATATAATTTAGACAGAAGCGCATGGAGACCTACTGTTTAGGTGGAAAGAAGGGTTAGTGTAATTGAAAATTGTTTACTGCCTGTGTAGCTATGAGGGATATCAAAGAGGTATCATTTACCCATCTATAACATTGTGGTATGTGACAACAGGGTGAGGTTCAAAGAATCAGTTCCTTGATAATTTAGATGATTATGCTGAAGATCAGCTAGATCTTAGACAGGCACAAATGGAGACCTCTCAGTTATACATGAGTTGCTTCCAGGAATCTATGTGTGCTTAGTAGTAGTGCCCAAAATATAGTTAGGTTTCATGTCTTTGGGGAAAAAGAGCACAATAACCTTTGAGGTTCAAAACTGGGAATCTGCTGCTGGACGTTTAAACCATTCTGAAATGTGCTTTGGGAGTTCACAGTGTCTAAAGCAAATTTGATAGGCTACAAAAATCTCTTGTGCTATCTTGTGTTCTAGTCAGTTATTAAGGAAGAAATGTAAAGTTAGAAACAGAAGAAACAGAGATGGTCAGACTTTACTGCAGTTGAAACTTGAATTTTTAATTCAAAGTGGGGAAAGGGGCAAAATGAGAAACTGGAAAGAAATGTTTGGATGGGGAAAGGGCATGACTTGATAAGCAAGAAGTACAGAACTGGTCAAATGAAATTTCATGCATCTCAGAATTAGCATATAGAACTCGTGGGCATAAGATATCATGGAAGCTGAACACGTAAGAGGATTGAAAAAGATCAGACATCCGTATGGGTAATGAGAGCATCCAAATTACATTGAGCAGAATAAAACATTAATATAGATGTAAAACTTCATGCTTGCGGGCAGGAGCCAGACACATGTGGATGGGCTTCCAAGGGAACTCCATACTTGAGGTGCTTATTCTATAGTTTTCCCCTTGGAATTTTTTTGCTTTCCTTTGTAGCAGTAGATACTGGTGCAGTTGAGGATCTGTGTTCCTTGCATTTATGCTTATGTAGGAAAGGAGAGGAGGGTGCACAAGAATATGCTGTTATTTGGTGCTTCTCAGGAGGAAGTAACTTTTAGACAATTCTAGAGAGCACAAGCAAAATAACCTTGCTGTAACTGGCATAAGGGCCTGGCTCCTCAGTTGTGTGGGAGAAAGGCCTGGTCAACTTATCCTTAGCCGTCAACCTCCCATGGCTGAGGCAGAAGTCAGTTCTGTGCAATTCAAACATGTTGTAATTTTGCCTCCATATTCTCCTGCAAAGTAAATTTATCGTTTGAAATAACATAAGTACGTTATTCATATGTAAGATGCCTCACGCCTGTCACGGGTTGTGAGTGGCCTGTAAGTGGCAGTACATGTTGAGTCTGTTCTTTGCGGGTTTCAGTGCAGCCCCCAGCCTGCCAGGTTGTGCTTTCCACCCTGCCCTTCATCAAACTGGGACTGCATCTAGCCACGTAGTGGTCTGCAGACCTCTGCATTATGAGATTGAAAACTTTGAGAATACTTTTCCCAACCAAAGTGAGAGAATCTTACAAGTCAGAAATGGCAGTAGATTGCTGCGAATATTTGTCATTTCCAAATGTAATGCATTTCATCCTGTCTTTCACTGTTGCTTGTCGCTATGGCACTGAATTAATCTGAATGGGAATATGGGCAATAAAACACTGCAGCCCCACTGTATTAGGAATTTGAGAGGGAAGAAGAAACTGCTTCACCACTGCCTCCTTTTCATACTTCGTATCTCTAAAAGTAGCCAGTTAATTACATTCCATGGTTACTGCTATTGTAATATGTGCTTATTTGAAGTGCAAAGATAATCATCAATTGTACACTCTTGACTACACTATTAATGGTTTCAATACCCACATTGTGTTTACATTTTACTTTATAACTAACACTTAGCCATTGTGGTTTTAGCATGTAGTAATTCAGTGAACACTGTCTCCATGTAATGCCCTTGCCATTTCATTCTGCGGTATTAAGTGTTGTTTTTCTAGGAAGGTCTTGAAATGTGGGGCATTATGTATGAGTTATGCTAATTTGTTAGGGCAATGAATACATTAATTTCATTAGTAAATGGCCTCAAAGCAATAATTACCAGTGTAGGTGTGTCAGAAACGATCATGTTCAGTTTTGCCAGTTAATTATTAAGATTTTGTTCTAAGGGACCGAGATTTGACATCTAGCTTCAATTTAGCCATAAATAAAAGTCTGAAGTATATTGGACTGAAGAAATGGAGCCAAGAACTTGTTTTGCTCTTAGAAATTTCTGCATTTTGTCTAATTGTGACTGCCAATACGATGCCAAAATAATTAGTGTCAGTGCTATGAGGTTTATACTATACCTCCCAAAAAGGCACATCATAATGAAAATAGCAATCACGCTTTCTCATTCCTCTCATCTCGCCTTATGTTACCGAATGCTGAATTATTCAAAGGTGGTGTTACTTGCTAGTGCAGTATTCAATTTGAAATGGCTGCAGTTTATCGTTGAAGCTGAAGGCTGTTTTTTAATGGAGTTTACTTCTAATGGCCTAATTAGGCTTCTGAGTTATAGCCATGCACTTCTTGAACTTTACATGGCTAACACTGTAGAGGAGACAAATGGAGGCACCTGTGCACCTGGGCTCCTTCCCATAGATGTGACCCTATTTTTAATTACAGTGGATTTGTTGAGAGAACAAACCTGATAAACCACTGTGCAATAATAATATGCTTTTAGGCACCTTACAGCTGTATTTTTTCCAAAGGAAACTTGGAAAATTGTGTACCTGAGCTCAGATACATTTCTCAGTTATTAAAATGGTAGCAATAAGAATTCTCTTGTTTCATTTTTGTGGTCTGCTTTGTAAAATAGAGATGTAGAAAGAGGGACTGTTGTCCTCACTGAACTTACTTACAGCTTCTTTCAAAACATGTTTTATGTTTTAAAGTGCAAGGCAGACTTCAGATCAGTACAGAATAATGCTGGAAAAAATAGGACTAATGACTGTTTACTGTGTCTTTAGTTACATCATCAAAGATGCTTCACTACTCAATTGTATCATAGGGATATGCACTGTATGTGCAAGCAAAGGACATATAGGGCTCCCTGCACTTCCCATCAGTGGACATGGGTAACAGCCAGTCACAGCAGCTCTTTCAGCTCTGAAATGCATTTTATGTTGCTTGCAGGACTTGAGCCAAGCTTTTCAGATCTAGGGTGAAGGCCATCATTAGTCCAGTAAATGTGTACTTTGCAGAGTTTGCTCCCTGACCTTATTTCATAATCTCAAGCAGAGTCGGTGAATAATGATGCTGTGTCCGGCTTTTTAGATTTACAGATATGAAGAGTGGGTGTCTAATTGTGGCTTTCTTCTTTTGCACATTTGATAACTTTCCATTAGTTCAGTTGATACTCAGTTTGCCTTGGGACAGATAGAAGTAAATGTGACGGATCTTACAAAGAGTTTTGGCATCTCTCTGGGCAGCTTGGTTAATTTACCTTCTTTTCGGTCAAGCTCCTGAGAAACCTGACTGTGCAAAGGAAAACCAGCATTGTGCTGTTACTAGAGTAATTGCTGGCCAGTGTAGTCCTTTCTCATGCTGGATGGCTTTTATTCTGGACTGCTGCAGTATTTGTTTTAGGGACTCAGAAGCCAAGGGAACAATATCCTTTCTGTCTTAGATTGTGCTCTTTTCCTAAGATAATGGGAGGAAAATGACTCTTCCTTGTTTATGAGGCAATTAAGTGGAATATATTGACAGTTAGCATTCAAACAAATCTAGGGTGGCACAAATCTATCAAAGTACCTTAGGAACACTGTTCACTATAGAGATTTTGGAATATGTAACAAAATGTAGACAAAATCCCTTCTTAAATTTTATTCCCTAAGGATAAATCCCCTGGGAAATCAAGTTTTGTAAAAAGCTGTCAGAAGCAAAACGTT